AGCAGGCTCCCAAGGAGCAGGGAGCCCGATGTGGGACTCGATCCCAGGACTCTGGGATCATGACCTGAGCCGAAGGCAGACGCTTAACCGTCTGAGCCACCCAGGCGCCCAAATTCAGCTGATATTTTTAAAAGTTTTCTGGGCTTAGCAAATCTCTAATGACGTTTTAAAAAATTTTTTTTAATTTTAATTCCAGTATAGTTAACATACAGTGTTATATTAGTTTCAGGTATAAAATTTATAATGACTTTTTAAAATTTTCAAGAAATGCTTTTAATCATAGACATTTAAAATTTTTTTGATTTTATTATTTTACTTCTCTGAGTTTAGAAAGGACTTGTTTTGAATTTATTTCTAGTATTTAATAATTGTTTGAATCATGTTATATAATTATAATGTGTCTCATTTAAACTGTTTATACAGTTAGACCGTATGAACATTACTTACTCTGAAAAGGAACTATTTCTGTATAGATTTTAGTTGTTTTGTCATAGTTATCTTCTAACTACTTGTTTATTTAAATTCAAGGTTAGTTTTCTATGAACTGCCATAATGGTGGAATATCAGCCTTTTTTAGTTGGCATGTTTGCCTGCTTCTGATGGATAGTGTCCAGTTCTAACTGCTTATCCAAGAAATGCATATATTATTACTTTGTATAGAATTAGAATAGAAGAAATTTCTTGCTGTACTTTTTTTTTTTTTTTTTTAAGATTTTATTTATTTATTTGACAGAGACACAGTGAGAGAGGGAAAACAAGCAGGGAGAGTGGGAGAGGGAGAAGCAGACTTCCCGCGGATTAGGGAGCTGAATGTGGGGCTCGATCCCAGGACCCTGGGATCATGACCTGAGCCGAAGGCAGACGCTTGACGATTGAGCCACCCAGGCACCCCTTCTTGCTGTACTCTTAAAAGATATCTGCGAGAGAGGTTTCTTCTGTCAGCTGTCAGAAAACAGAATGAGGGGTGTCTGAGTGGTTCAGGTGGTTAGCCACCAACTCTTGGTTTTGGCTCAGGTCATGATCTCATGGGTCATGAGATCCACCAGGGCTTCAGCCTCCATGCTAAGTGAGGAGTGGGCTTGAGGAGCCTCTCCCTCTGCCCCTCCCCCCACTAGCATGCATGCCTGTGCTCTCTCTCTCAAATCTTAAAAAAAAAAAAAGAACCAGTTTTCCCTTAATATTTCTTTCCTTTTTAAAAAACATTTATTTCTTTATTTTAGAGAGAGAGAGTGTGTGCAAGTAGGGGGTGGAACAGAGGGAGGGGGAGAGAGAGAATCCTTAGGGCAGAGCCCAGTGCTGGGCTGGATCCCAGGACCCTGCGATCGTGACCTGAGCCAAAATCAAGAGCCAGCACTTAACTGGCTCAGCCACTCAGGTGCCCCTGATATTTCTTTATTTGAACCCTGGGGATAGAAATTTTTACATTTTGGAATTTAGCACACTTATCTCATTTCCAGGAGGTAACCTAAAGCATTGTTTTCAAATATAACCTGACATCCTCCATTTTGATAGAAGAAAGCCAATCCTAATCCTCTTTTTCAGTTGTTTGGAGAAAAAAAGTTTTTGTAATAGAAAGTAATGTGTTTTTTTCTCCCGACTCTGTCCCATTGCCAGTTACAGTGAATGGGTACAAAAGAATGAATATAAACTGTATTTTTAATAAATTGAGTACCTTAAGAAGTAGAGCCAGAAGTGTGGTGTAAAGTGTGTTTTCTGATTCTAGAGGCATAAGCAAGCCATGGGTGAAAATCCTATAGAGGCCTTCCCCCTACCCCCACCCCAAGGGAAAAAAAAGAGGAGTAGTCCTCCGTTAATCCACAGGAAAATATTCTGTTGGCATAATGTGGAAGTGGTTTCAATACTCTTTGCAGAAGGCAGGTAATTAGCACTGCTTTCTTTATTTATATGGCTGAGTCAGATTTCTCTTCCCTATTCGCTTCCATAGCTTCCCCCAAACTAAAGTAGTAAGTTTTGATATTTTATTTAGTTTTACATTTACATAATTAATTCTTTAATAATTGTAAATAAACTTACCAAAGGTAACTTCCTTCCAATAGTAGGGCTGTTTTTAACTCACGACATAGTTTAAACTATTGTTTCAGACCTTCAGGAAATGGTCCCCCTAATTCCTCTATCCATAATGGGGATTTCTGGTCCATTAGGACCTTGGGCAAAGTGGGGAGGGAGTCCCATCAGTGATGAAAAGTGGTATTGAGGTAGGTGTTTCTTATCTTTAAACCAGTATTTGTAAAACTTTTTTCATTGTTACACTTGTCAAGAGCCCCCCCACCCCGTTTTTTAAGATTTTGCGTATTTATTTGAGAGAGAGCATGCATGTGAGAGTGGCGGGGAGGGGCAGGGAGAGGGAGAAACAGACTCTCCACTGAGCAGGGAACCAGATACGATACAGGGTTGGCTTGCAGGACCCTGGGATCATGACCTGAGCCACAGACAGACGCTTAACCGACTGAGCCACCCAGTTGCCCCCGTTAGGATCCTGTTTAGACATTTTTTCCCCTAATAGCCCCGTCCCCATGATATTTTGATACCGCAAGTAAGTATGTATCTTTTTATGTACTGTATGTATATATGTGCTGGATACATAAAAAGAGCAAGTATAAACCTTATTTTTATTTATGTAAGTTTAAGAATAATTAAATATTTAAGGTAAAAGTTAAACTAACATTTTACTATATTTGAATAAGAATTATGTAAATTGTAATATCAAATTTCATAACTATGTTAGTTTATGAAAACATAGTAATAATAGCAGTGTAATCAAATTTTTAAAAGTTATTCAGAAGTGTTATTTTTTTCTGCAATGTAAAATAATAGAAAAATTAATTTCTCAAAAAGTATCTTTAGTGAGGTTAAATTTGCTTGATATGAGAAAATACCTTTTTTTTTATTTTTTATTTTTTTTAAAGATTTTATTTATTTATTTGAGAGAGAGAATGAGAGAGAGCACAAGAGGGGGGAGGGTCAGAGGGAGAAGCAGACTCCCTGCTGAGCAGGGAGCCCGATGCGGGACTCGATCCCGGGACTCCAGGATCATGACCTGAGCCGAAGGCAGTCGCTTAACCAACTGAGCCACCCAGGCGCCCCGAGAAAATACCTTTTAACTTAGCTTCTAGGTATTCAAGTATTATTGACCTATTTTGGCACTTGACATAATTAATGAAAGGGGTTGAATAATTAGTAGAATTAAAATAATAAAATATAAATGGTTTTTATTTAGTTCACAAAGCCCAACTCTCACATAAAAGCTTAAATGACAAACGACAAGGCAGCTAGACAGCAGATACTCTTAGGCCACTTCTTTCAATATGACTGTGAGATCGGCAGTCTATTGAGAGAAGTCCTCCAGTTACTGCCGTCTCTTTGCCATATTTTTGTAACTCTATTCTTGCATACGTTTTGTGTGTCTTCTTTGGATTCCAGGTGCTACTTATATGCTACTTATGTGATACCCAATATCACATAGATACTATTGATAATAAGGAATAAGATTTTGTCAGATAGGTTTGGACTTTGGAGGGGCCACAAATCGTAATTATCAAAAACTTTTTCTCTCTTCCATAACCACTTTTCTTCTCATTTAATCATCCCTGATACGAATACATGCTATAAACATAATTAACCTTGAGGAGGAAGGGACTCTTGCCAGGAACAACCCTGATGAGTCTCACAGTGCTCTGATGGGGTCAGATAAGAGTTCTTTCTAGATTGGGCTCTCTGGAACTAGGGTTTCCAAAGATGTGGCCATGTCTGCTCGAATCCACCCTCCACCTGCAGTTCCAACTCATCCCCATGGAGGGATTCTTTTTTATTCTGTCTAGATCATTTCTAAGTGGCATATGTAAATAGGAGACCGGCTGTTTTTACCTTGTTTATAGAAAATTATTTCTTTTTAGTCACTTATTATGATTTAAAGGGTTTAAACTTGTTATGGTCGATAAAAACATTCTATTAAGTGGTAGATATCCTTAAAAATATTAAGAACTAGAAGTAAGCTCCCTCAAAATAATTTTATGTTGAGTTATTAATGAAGTTTTTGTATGTAAATGGCCTGTCATTAGCTTGAGCATGTACTTATATTTGCACTTTGAATTTTACCTTTAAGTATTTCTTGATCATTTCTTTCTTCCTTCCTTTGAAAAATTATTTAATGGCTAATGATTGTAGAATCATGTATTCAGTGTATCATTCTCTTCCCAGGTAAGTACTTCATAGCTTTTTAAACTTGCTTATTTATAAATACTTCAACAAAGACAGTCTGTATTAATCCATGTTAACAGGAGTGGAGTTTTGAGGCCTCAGTAATTGCACGTATGCTTTTCCTTTCTTTTGACCCATCTCTGCTCCTATGTGTCAAGGAAAAATAGATTATTTTTCTCCCCTATAATTTCTGAACCAGTTTTAATTTTTCAACAGCTTCAGGCACTACTTCAGATTTGGCCTAAACTGCCCCCCCGGGAGGCCTTAGAGCTTCTAGATTTCAACTATCCAGATCAGTACGTGCGAGAATATGCTGTGGACTGCCTGCGACAGATGAGGTATTCTGCAGGTGGCTTTCTTGGGGGAAAGGAATAACATGGGGGTAGGTAGAGAAGGTGATGTCTGCTTGAATGTCTCATAAGAAAGGAAAGAGCTAGGAATTATTCAGAGTTTAAAGCATTTTTTTTCTCTGTCCCTTCTGATCATCTCCTTCTCTCCCTCTCTCCCTCCTCTTTCATGTTTACTCTATATTATAAAACAAAACCAAAAACACACTGGGTCAGGAGGTACCCAAGATCACCCTTGATTAGAATTCACAGGACTCCGCATATACTCATACTTCTGGCTGTGATTTATTATAGCAAAAGGAGACAGTGTAGAATTGGCAGAAGAAAAAGATTCATGGAGCAAAGTCTGGAGGAAACCATACAGGAACTTCTAAGAGTTCTTTGCTAGTGGAATCACAGTGAATATACTTAATTCCCCTAGCAACAAGTTATGACAACATGTCTAAAATATTGTCTACTGGGGAAGCTCCTTAGAGACATGGCAGCCAGGATTTTTACTGGGGGCCTAACACAAAAGCAAAATTCTAGAGTCCCAGAAAAATGGGTATTGAGCATAAACCATATTGTTTGTAAGAATAATTTATGCACACAGAGCTACTCTTATCTGTTAGGTGGTGGGAAGCCTTCTGAAATCTGTTTCCAGATGCCAGCCAAAAGGGCCAGTGTTGTAAACAGGCTTTTTTTTTTTTTTAAAGCATAAGGTTCAGGACTGCTGCTATATGTTAACTCTTTTCTGTCCACCACTCAGAATTAAGAAATGTTAATATTTTGTCACTTTTTAAAAATACTTTTAAGCAAATAACATTACAGCTAAAGGTGAAGTCCTCATAGTTTCTTAACCTACTCCTGATTACTTTTACTTCCCAAAGACAATCATTATCATGAATTAGGCCTGTATCCTTCTATACCACATTTTTCTGTTTATACTCCCATTTTTGTAACTAGAAAAATATAGAGTAACATTGTACATTTAAAAATTACACTAATATGTCTTACCATATGTATTATTTTATTTATTTATTTATTTATTTTTTAAAGATTTTATTTATTTATTTGACAGAGAGAGAGACACAGTGAGAGAGGGAACACAAGCAGAGGGAGTGGGAAAGGGAGAAGCAGGCCTCCTGCAGAGCGAGGAGCCCTATGCGGGGCTCGATCCCAGGACCTGGAACCATGACCTGAGCCGAAGGCAGACGCTTAACGACTGAGCCACCCAGGCGCCCCCCATATGTATTATTTTAAATCTTGCTTTTTAAAAATTCAACATAGGTTTTTGAGGTCCTTCTCTCCCATTGCATATAAATATAGTTTATTCCTTCCACTACTGTGAAATATTCTGTTGTAGGGATATATCTTATTTACTCCATTTCCTTATTAAGGAACATTTTTGGTTTTCTCCAGACTTCCCTGTTATAAACAGTTCTGCAGTGAGCGTGCTTGTACATGTGTAAAAATCTATGAGCTTTATTTGAGGAAATGTCATTATTGAGACAGTCTCAGACAATGGGCATTTTCAGGTTTATCCAGAAAAGTCTCAAAAATGAATATTATACTGTACGGTTATTTGAAAAAGAAAAGTTCTCAGAAAATTATGGACACTATTATCCCTTTTCTTCTTTTTTAAAAGTCATACATGTTTCAAGTCATGTAATGTCCAAAAGAAATTACACAAACTCTTCCACAGTTGTTATTTTAGGGGACTGAAGTTCAAAGTGTAAGGAAAGAGGAAGCCTCCTTCTGTTTCAATACTTCCTTTCTGTCTTTTACACCATTTATAGGTTTTTATAAAGGGCAAAGATTTTACAATAAACTTAAAATTGTTGAATAGTGTTAAAAAATGAAGCTCCCAGTTGCTTCTTAGTTTCCCTAAGTTTCCACTGGAGACCTGAGGGGAAGGGGCTACCTGGCCCCATTTGGGCTGAGCCAAGTGTTTTTCTTAAATGTATTAATCCCCAGAAGGAGATTGCTGTGATCTCCATGTTCCATTTGGTAATTCTGATGCTTTTTCCTGTGATAAATTTTCTGCTTATGAGGTTTTTCTTTTGATATAGTGCCCTGAGTTTCAGTCCCGGATCTGCATTAGATTACTTTCTTAACCATTTATTGCCCAAGGCTATAGCAAGTAGAGGACTTGGGATTCATATCTAACCTGACCTCTGGAATTGCCTCTGATCAGAGTGTGTTTACATGTGAATGGTTTTGGAGATGGATACAAAATAGAGAACCACTAACCTTAATTAATTCAGTTCATTTAATTACAACATTATGTTGTATTAATTCAAATTGCTAAATTACTGATAGAATTTTTATTTTAAAAAAACTGGTTGACTGAGTATATCACTTTTCCAGCATGATCAGAAGTCAGTATTAAAGTACCTGATTTTATTGTAACTCTGGGCTAATTGTAAATACAGTCATTAATCGTATCAACCTAGATAATTTAATTAAAATGCCCCATATATCTGTTCTTTGCTCCTTTCCTTTCCATTCCCCCTCCTGCCCACAGGAAATCCTGAGCTTTTCTTGTGTTATTTTAACAGTGGAATAGTGAATATAAGCATGCAACAAGCCTGACCCCAACGAACTGTTGTGTTTCAGTAAGTTAGTATTTGATAGTTTGATAGGAAGGGATCTTTTTCTGGCACTGGTTGTTGAGTGACTTACTCTGTCTTTTGTTTCTTTTAGTGATGAAGAACTCTCTCAATATCTTTTACAACTGGTGCAAGTTTTAAAATATGAGCCTTTTCTTGATTGTGCCCTCTCTAGATTCCTATTAGAAAGAGCACTGGCTAATCGCAGGATAGGACAGTTTCTATTTTGGCACCTTAGGTAAGTCTTTTATATTTTTTAATGTGAGTCCACCTTGTGCTTTTGTAAATATAAATCAGCATAATACAGGACATTTAGTATACTGGTCAGCTGCTTCAGTTGTTTCTGAGCCATCTGTAACATTTACACTCTTCTTGGTGTCTTCTCTTATTTCTTGATACCCAACTCTTAATTTTCAGGATTTGGCAAAGTAATTCAGATAAGTGTCCCACCAAGCTTCCTTGATTTTTAACTGAAGCAAATAATTAATGTATTGCTATTTTCTAGTCAGGTGTACTTATTGTGTACTTACAATGTGTTTGTGCTAAAACCAGACTTACTGATTCCTTCCAAAAGGCTTTGGGTAGTAATATCATCATTACTACTAATAGCTAGAGGTTTTAAAGTTTTCCTATAAGAACAGCAACATTATTTGCAGCTTCTATATTAGGTCATTTTCAGAAATACATGAGTCTTATTTTACCAAGTTTATATAGGAGTAAATCAAGAAGGATAACTAAAGTTCTTTTGTCCTAGGAAAATTGTTGATTCCTCATTTCTGACTCTCTACTCAGACATTTTTGTCGTTTTCTTTTTTTTTTTTAAGATTTTATTTATTTATTTGACAGAGGGAGAGACAGCGAGAGAGGGAACACAAGCAGGGGAAGTTGGAGAGGGAGAAGCAGGCTTCCCACCAAGCAGGGAGACCAGTGCGGGCTCAATCCCTGCACTCTGGGATCATGACCTGAGCTGAAGGCAGACGCTTAATGACTGAGCCACCCAGGCGCCCCCCTTTTTTTTTGTCGTTTTCATCTGGACTTCATAGTATTGAAACTAATGATTGTCAGAAAAATATGACTTTCCTCCATTTTTGCTAAAGTTCTTAAGGAAAATAAGTGCTCTATATTATTTTTATGTTAATTTGGAGGGTTACATTTCTGAATCTTGACTTACTAATTCATAGAAGTTTTTCCTTTCTTATTTTTAACTTGTCAGTAGTCTTCTCATGCAGTTCAGTCTTCCTATTTTTAAGTCCTTTAGGGAATAACAAAACAAGGTGTTCCTTCCTTTTTCAAACATGTACAGCATTCTTTAAGTGAGAAAAAATTGTATAGAAGCGAATTGAGGGATTAGTCAATTGTGTGATGTGAGTCAGATCTTTGTGTTTCACTTTATTGTCATTTAATTGGCAATGTTACCATTTCAACTACAAAAAGTAAGGTGAGATGTGAAAATTTTGGATTTTTTTGAATAAAAAATTAATGAATTACAAAACTACACGTTTTTGAACTGTGGTGGTTAAAGACTTGAGAAGTTGACCATCCCACTAATAATTGTGAACAAGATGATGTGTTCTGTTTTTTGATGGCATCAGAAGTTTATTTCATAATAGAATATGAAGTCAGTATTTTTTTTTTAAGATTTTATTTATTTATTTGACACAGAGAGACAGCGAGAGAGGGAACATAAGCAGGGGGAGTGGGAGAGGAGGAAGCAGGTTTCCCGTGGAGCAGGGAGCCCGATGCGGGGCTCGATTCCAGGACCCTGGGATTATGACCTGAGCCAAAGGCAGATACTTAACGACTGAGCCACCCAGGCGCCCCATGAAGTCAATATTTTTATTTGGTGATCTGAAGTGTTTTATAAGCAACTCATCTTAATATTATTTATTAACTTATTTGTAGGTCAGAAGTGCATATTCCTGCTGTCTCAGTACAATTTGGTGTCATCCTTGAAGCCTACTGCCGGGGAAGCGTAGGGCACATGAAAGTGCTTTCCAAGCAGGTATCAGGTTTTTTTAATCTTCATGTTAAGTTTGCCACATGGTTTTTAATAAATTGGATCATGTGCTCTTTCTCACATTACATTATTTCATAGCTGTTTCAGTAACTAAACTTAATTAATACATTTTTAAATTATAATTTAAGTCAAGAAATGACGTGTCAACAAACTTAGCAGAACATTGAGTGCCCCCCCCACAAAATTATGGATTCCTCCTAGTATCTATATTAATAACATGGCTTACATTTTAATAGGAAATGCTTATTTAGACATGCTTAACAATGTGTTTGATGGTGATGATGACAAAGGTCATGAAATTTTTAGACCCTGTTTTTTCATGTCCCTGAGTTACTCTTTGCAGTTAGTACTTAGTATTTATGTTTCATATATTCTGCCATATGTTTTAGTTTGAGATATTTTGACACCTAAGTCCATAGCTGTTATAGGATCTAGAATTCAGACTCCTCAAGCTGCTTTTTCAAACTATATATATATATATACCTGCAGTCCCTTATCTTTTTTCCAGGCCTTCATTTTCTTAATCATTGCAGGTGATGAGATACAGTGATATTGATAGGTCAGATGTTAAATGCTTATATGCCAGGAATCATACTACATGTCTTAAGTATATTATTTTACTCTCCTAATAATGTGCCACAGTAGTTGCCAGTACTGTCTGGATTTGATGAGGGGGAAAACAAAGGCTCCAAGAGATTAAGTAGCTTGCCTAAAAACCACAACTAAGTGACAGGAATAAGTTTTAGTTAAGTCTGTCCAACTATAAAACTAACTTTTTTTTTTTTTTTTTAAATCATACTGGGAGTTTTCACACTTTTAGCACCACAACTCTCTTTTATAAATCAAAACTTAAACACAGATCCAATATATAAAATAGACAGCAATGTCATTTTATCAGTATAAATGTGTTTTGAAGCTAAAATAAAATAAAAGCCATTAAACAGAAGCATGAAACTGTTTTACTGAATACAGAATTCCAAAATCCGGGACTATTATTGTCAGTTGTAGTCTCAGTATTATTTCTCTTGTTTTGGAGATAATCCTGATTTATACAGCTAAGTAATTGCAAATAGTAATGGTTTTTTAATAGCTTGCTTGCAAGTGAGAAGCATAACCGTGGCCCACGCTTGATTTGCTGGTAGGTCATTGGTCCCCTGAAGGTTGTGATGAGAACATGTCTGCCATCAAAATAAAACAACCCTTTATTCTAGCTTCTTCATGCCAGAACCTTCATTGACAGATAGCAACAATATGCTCTTGTTCTTTAACAATAATTTTTCTTGAATTGAGTATCCTCTAAATAAACAAAAGAAGGTTTTCTTAATGGTTTAATATACAGTTACTCAGAACTTACTATATACCAGGGTTTGTGTTAGGTACTGGTAATATGAAGTGAATATAGTTATGTTATCAAGGAATTTATATTCCATAGAGAAGGTGTACAAATCAGTGATTGTTATGATAGAAATGTTGGTATGGGAATATTATGGAAGCACAAAAGAGAGATATGTAACCAAACTTAAGACATTAGGGAAGAGTTCACAGTGGAGGAGACACTTGGAGGTTTTGATGGTGTAGTTGGTGTTAGTTCAATGAAGAGTGTGTTAGTGTTTTACAGAGAAACAACCAATAAGGGGTGTGTTTGTGTATGTGTATGGTTGATCCTTGAACAACATAAATTTGAATGACCCGAGTCCACTTATACACTTACTTTTTTTGGTATAGTAGAGTACTGTAAATGTATTTTCTCTTCCTATGATTTCCTTTCCTCTAGCTTACTTTACTGTAAGAATATAGTATATAATACACATAATGGACAAAATACGTTGACAGTTTATGTTATTGGTAAGGCTTCCCGTCAACAATAGGCTATTAGTAGTTGAGTTTTTGGGGACTCAAAAGTTGGTTGCAGATTTTCAATTGCATGGGGCTGGAGGTGGGAGTCAGTACCTCTAACCCTTTATTTAAGGGTTAGCTGTATAGAGAGAGTGAAGCAGAGGAGGATGGTACAGAAGAATTGGCTCATGTGATTATGGAGGCTGAGAAGTCCTGAGATTTTCAGTTAAGGAAGCTGGAAACCCAGGAGAGCTGACAGTGAAGTACTGGTCTGAAAGCAGACAAGCTTAACACCCAAGGAGTTTTAGTTCCAGGCAGGAAAAGACCTATGTCCCAACTCAAGGCAGTCAGATAGGCAGAGTTCCTTCTTACTTGCTGAAAAGTATGCCTTTTTATTCTATTCAGAACTTCACAGGTTCTGATAAGACCCATCCATATTAGGAAGGGCAGCCTGATTTACTCAGTCTACCCATTCAAATGTTAATTTCATCCAAAAACACCCTCACAGACACACCTAGAATGATGCTGGACCAAATATCTGGGTACCCCATGGCCCAGTCAAGTTAATACCTAAAATTAACCATGACAGATCAACTTGGCGTGTATACACAGCTCTGAAAACCATATTTAATCTCCAGATAAAGACTGTAGCAAGTTCAGAATTCCCCCAACATGATAAAATTACCCTGAGTACAACCAAAAATACACTAACCTGTTTCCCACCACAAGAAGTAATATATCCTTGAGTGTTGTCTACTCTTCTTGTTTCTCTGAAAATTAAATACGATGTAAATTAATACTTAAATACTATGATATAAAGTCAGTACATCTTATGTTACATGATAAAGGAAGGGGGGGCGCCTGGGTGGCTCAGTTGGTTAAACGGCTGCCTTTGGCTCAGGTCATGATCCCAGGGTCCTGGGGATCAAGCCTTGCATTGAGCCCTGCCCATGGAGCTCTGTATAGGGCTCCCTGCTCAGCAGGGAGTCTGCTTCTCCCTTTCCTTCTGCTCCTCCACCCTGCTCATGGGCATGCGTGCGCGCGCTCTCTCTCTCTCTGTCTCTCTCGCTCTTGCTCTCACTCTCACTCTCAAATAAAACCTTAAAAAGATAAAGGAAAAGAGTGGGAAGGAAACAAAGACTGTGTGTCTGTGTACATATAACATATACACAGATACACACAAAAGCATACGCATACCAAAATAAGTAGGAGATACTTATGACAGTTAATCCTCATTTCTGTAAACGGTCATGTGGTCATAGCTGGTATTTGTTAACTACCTTCTTCCAACCCGTTCTGTAGTCCCTTTGCCTTTAGTAAGCATTTCACTGTGGTCCTTGACCTGCAGGGTTGACCCAAACCTTCATTCTTTTTTTTTTTTTTTAAGATTTTATTTATTTGAGAGAGAGCACATGGGAGTCAGCACTGAGCCCAGGTTTCCCCCAAATCTTCATTCTTGAAGAGTCCAGGTCATTAGTAGTCCTACTGAAGTTAGCTTGTAATTGTCCATTGGTCTTAATCCCAGGACATGGTCATGCTAAGAAGAGATCTCCTGTATTCTAGACATACTTTTCTTTATGTCTGTGGAGTAGTAGGCCAGTTTCCCCATGGTAGTCAGGATCAATCACTCCAGCCAGCATCATAATGCCTTCTTTGCCTGTTGATCCAAAGACATAAGGAGCTCAAAGTGGCTGGGCTGGAGTCTTAACTTCCAGTCCAGTGGAATCATTACCATGTCTCCCACTGGAATCATTCTTCCCTCTGTAACTAAGACCTTTGTGCCCATAAAGCATAAGGGTGCAGGAAAAGGAAGCAAAAATTTTGCTAGTGGGTAACTAGGGGTAATAGTGAGTGGTACCACTTCCATTTTTAAACCTTGATTTCTGGACCTTTGAGTCCTGGCTGTGGGAGAAACAGTGTCATGGATGTTGACTCAGAGCATATACAGCTTTCTGGAGAACTTTGCCCAAGTCCTGCAAGGTATTGCCACCTAGCTGGAACTGTAACTTAGTCTTCAAAAGGCCATTCCACTCTCCTGTTAAGCCAGCTACTTCAGGTTAGTGGGGAACATAGTAAGACTAGTGAATACCATGAGCATGAGCCCATTGTTATGCTTCGTTTGCTGTGAAATGAATTTCTTTATCAGAAGCAATGCTGTGTGGAATACCACGGTGGTGGTTAAGGTGTCCTGGGAACGGCAGGGAAGGTAAATCCGTATCGAGAGTTAAGTGTCTATTCCAGTAAGAACAAAATATTGCCCCTTCCATAGTAGAAGCAGTCTGTCTAGTGCAGTCAACCTGTCACCAGATAGCTGGCTGACCATCCTGGGTAAATGGTGCTATATCAGGGTCTTGGTGTTGGTCTCTGCTGCTGGCACAGCAGTCACTCAATGGTAGTCATAGCCAGGTAGACTTTAGTGAGTGGAAGTCCAGATTGCTGAGCACGTGTATAACCTCCATCCCTGCCACCTTGGCCACTTTGTTCGTGAACCCATTGGGTGATGACGGGTGATTGGGAAAAGAGGCTGACTAGTATCCACAAAATGGGTCGTCCTATCCAGTTGATTATAAAAATCCTCTTCCAAATACACTCTTTGGTGAACATCCAAGGAGACGTGTATCTTTTTTTTTGCCTATTCAAAGAGGTTTATTACTTACCTCTTCTCCAAATTTCCTTGTCACTAATTTTCTAGTCATGTTCCTTCTAAGTCCCTGGCCATCAGCCAAGCTTTGGTCACAGCTCATGAACTGGTATATAATTGCGTGTATGGCCATTTCTCCTTCCAAGCAAAGTGAACAGTGAATTGAACTTTCCAAAGTTCTGCCCGCTGGGAGAATTTCACTTCAGCACAGTCCTTCAGAAATGTTTCAGAAAGTGGCTGTAGTACCACAGTTGTCAACTTTCATATGGTGCCTACATACTGTGTAGAATCATCTGTAAAGCATGCTTGAGACTTCTCTTCCTTTGTTAACTGATTGAAGGGAACTCCCTATGAGGCCATGGGTGCAGGCTGGGAAAGAGAAGGTAGTGTAGCAAGAGGGGGAAACCATGGACATTTGAATCACTTCTTCGTGTAACTTACTGTGCCTTCAGGACCTACTCTGGCCTAGTCTCATATATACCACTTTAATTTGATGATGGAGTACTAT